GTAGATGTGCAGTATATTAATGCAGTAGAGTAGTGCTGGTTTTTCTTGCCATAAGATTGTATTGAATGACCTAAAGATGAAGAGAGAATTTCATGCTTCCACTGCAGTTGTACCTTTTTTTCCAAGAAAATGCGTTGCCAATAATACAAGGAGAGAATTATGTCTGAGTAGAATCAATTAACAGAGTGGTGGTTGAAACAAGAATTAGAGGAAACCTGAACATTTAAGTTACTTTCTTTTGGACTTCTACAAATTTCTGACTCTCTTTTCAGTTGTTCTACGCTCTTCTTTCTTTAATATATGTGATGTTATATCTAATTTGGTCAAACTGAACAGATGTCGTTAAGTATCTTGACAAATGTAATCTATGGCAGTGCAAGAGAACTTCATCTACTCAGTGGCTTTTTCCATGTGTGGCTTCCTGATTGCCTAAGTCAGAGTTTCTTTATTTCCTTTCAGAATTAGCATTTTAAAGGCCTGAGAAGCTAAAAACTGAGAAAACAGACTGTAGTTCTGACTGCCAAATCTTCCTGTAATGTGGGAATATATTTGTACCCTGCCTCAAGAGAAAAGTTAAAGCAGAATTAATTGTGCTTCCAAGATACTAGTGGGATTACATATATATATATTAGTCTCCTTACTGCTCTGTGTGACTTTCAGGGTAAGAATGTTATAGAACAGAGCCTGGAAAAGCTTGTATGTGTGATAGGATCTTGAAATGAGCTATATAAAGAGGCTCTGTAGATACCTCTTTCCTGATAGAAACATCTTGTGATCTTTGGGAATCATTTTGTCTAAATTTCTTATTCATGTTAGACTACATTCTCCTTGCATTTTTCCATCTGATCAATGCTGTTCCATGCTTTGCCAGCCCAGCATGTGCTCACAGCTCCGTATGCTCTCAGTGTAGTGTGACATTTTTTGTGTGCCTCTAAAGTGCACTTCCTGTGTGCGGCTCAGTGTGATGAAACGGTTCTCATCTTGTGATTTGTAACATAAATGTGGGTTTTTCTAATTGTTTGTGTGCCTGAACTACTGGGTGTGAGGCACTATCCTGTGTATTTTGTTGTGGCAGCTCTTTGTGGCAGCGGGCAATTCCCACTGCTTTTAGTTCAACCTGTTTGTATAGAACTGTTGTTTGGACCTTTAAAAGGACAAAAAAGTGTTCTTGCAAACCATTCACAAGTTGCCAGCTAATGATCATGAGATCAAACTAACCCAAGATAAAAATAAAATGTAATTAAATCAGTCATTCATGTCTTGAAACAAAGCTGTAATTCAGTTTTTGACCATTCTTCTGGGAGTAATGTAACATTTAAGCCATGATGAAATGAGGGCAGTTCAACTGAAAAGTGCATGGCTGGAGGCTTCTTCTTTCATTATTATTCCCCGTTGATGGTTTGGAAAAAAAAATCAGAACTAAGGGGAATAATTCCAGGTGCATGTTTTTCTACAGTGTGCGTGTATGTATGTATATCTTACTTGTCCAATGGATGGGAGGGCATAAAAGGACTTTATCTGTAATTGCAAGTGCTATACCAGCCACTGGATTCTCTGTTTCCTAGCTGTTAGAAGCAGTTGTAGTTCAAGTCTGGAGTACAGGACTTGTCAGACTATAGCAGAGATGACAATTTAATCTCTTAATCCTTCTTGCTCTTTAGACTTTCTCAGAAGAAACCTGAGAAGAAGTCCATCCCCATAGTGGTGGCTTTCTCCTGTTATGGTGGACTAAATGCTTCTGCTATAGCTGCCTCCAGGTAGGCTCCTCTGTCATCCTCCACATCCCCTTGCGAATGCTCCATTCTTCCCCCTGTTGCCAGTTCATTTGTTTTTATAAATGCACTTCACTACTCCCAGAAGTAGTGGTAGTTACAGCGGAATCAGTCAGGAGCTCAGTTCAGAGCCCAGGTCTAGCTCATTTGTGGAGGATCCATGATGGTACAATTGCAGTTTTAGCAGAAAGCAGCCACTAACTCTTCTGCTTTTTTTTTTTTTTTCCTTTTGGTGCAGTGCACGTGGTTTATGTGCTTGATAAATTGACTGCATTTTGTACTTTTCCCTGCCCTGCTTTCTTACACAAAATAACCCTCTGACATGTGCCCACAGTTGAACGCTTATTGTGGCCACTTTTACTTACACTTTAGTGACACTTTCTGCCAGAAACACTGTAGAGATCTTTGGGTTTGTGGTTGTTCACAAGAGAGTATAGCTCAGCTCTGGAGACACATTTCTTGACATCTATTAAAATGGGAGTGTTGGAGGATTTATAAATTTGTACTCTGAAGCATAAAAGTGTGTTTATTGTCTGAGTAGCAATACACAAACTTGGAGGATGATTTTTATGTTAGAACTGAGGGTGAAACCCTGGCAGAAAACACCTGCATAATGGCCAGTGGGTCTGTACTTGTCATGTTAAGCTAGTTAATGTCACTAGAAAGTTTAGCCAAACTTCAGGTAGCTTTCAACTTTGTTTTGCTGAAAGATCAGTTTGCAGGCAGATTTACTTGGCAAACCAAGCTGAACTTTCTAGATCATAATCAATTAAAATACTCTTTTGCTTTACCTCACTTAAGGAAAAGTTAAGCTCTCCCCCTTTGCTCTCTCAGGTCTCCTGACTACATCATTAGAAAGTACATTGGAAATGACAGTGTTTGGTAAAGGCTGTCATGAGGTTATTCTCTCTTTTGAAGGGGCTGACTCATGCAGGTCTAGGGCAATTGATTATTTAGACTTTGAGGTGGATCAACAGTTGTTTTACATCATGTAGTTTGCGTCCAGAATTGAATCTATAAGGTTCTTGATCTGTGTATTAACTTGTGGCAGTGATACCGTGGCTTTGCCTTAACACTTTGTGGTTTTTACTGCTCATACAAGGGATTGCTGTTTTGCAGGATGTGTGAAACTACAGTAACGTATCTTAGAAAGGCTGCATATACATGATAGGGTGGAAATGGCTTCTGAGCTAGTCCCACCTCCAGCATTCCACACTGGCCCATTATTAGATGTTTCAAAAGGAAATGGAAATGCTTGCGAAGAATAAAAGCCAACCTGCCTTTTGGGGGAAGAAGTTTCTCCAAATCACAGCTGATTTGCATCCTGCAGCATAAGATTACATTCATGTGTTTTTCTCTCTCTTCTTTAACTTTAGCTGTTAATATTACTTTTCTAAATGCTTACCCTTTAGGCAACGTTACTAAACATCTTAATTCTCTAACATTTTGTTGAGTGAGTTCTGTATGTTAGCTTTGAGTATATATATATAAAAAAAAATCCTTTAGCAGTTTTCAGTTTGGTGTATAGTAATTTCACTTGCTGTTTGGCTTCGGAAATCAGCATTCCAGGTTTAAATCATCTTTTAAAATATTACAACAATTGCCTATTAGAATTTTCATCTTGTCCTCATTCTTACTTGTTGCGAGTTGTCTTAATTCATTTGCTGGATCACTATGAATTGCATTCTGCTGTGGGAGACTAGGTTTCTCAGAGCTGCATTTAGATGCAATAAGGATCTGAGAGAAGCACTGTGGGTTCTAGTAGTTACTTATTCTTGAGCAGCAGAAATCTTTTATATACAAAAATTTAAATTATTAGTTGCTTGTTCAGTTTCAATTGACTGAAAATGGGTATTCCATGGTATACAGAATACATTTCTCATGGCATGGTCTTCAGCTAAATTGATGTTCTGATTTCAGTGTAAAACAGAATTCATACATGGATTAGTTCTTCTATACTTTTCCTGTGTTGTTTTTGTAATTTCTGTGGGAATCTGTGTGTGTGCACTTTTCCACCCCTGTGTTGAAGCTTCATTTTGAGGGAAGCTATACTAATATGTATAAACTAAAAGAGCTCAGGAAGAGAGGTGCTTTAGTAAGCCTCAGGGTGACTAACACAGTTGATGCATTGACTTTGAACCTTTTGGCAAGGTTCCCGTTGAACTGATTATGTGCTTTTGCATTGTCCCTTAGCAGCAGGAAATCCCATCTGCCTTTGGGGCTCAACTAAATTACACAAAAGGGTGGAATAAATTTTGCTTTTTAGCAGAATGGTTTAGATGGTGGTTTACAGCTAAGCAGAGTTGGGTTCTGAACCTTAACCTGGATGATGTGCTGAACAAAGCACTTTGTCAACCCAGACAAAGAACAGGAAGCTTTAACCAGCCAAGTTTGGTTTATGTCAGTATTTTTTTTCTGCATTTTATGGTTTAAAGATTGACATTATGTCCAGGAAGCGTCTCATGAAAATCAGTCACTCATTTCACAAATAAAAATAAATCTATATTAAGTCAATTTTAGGCTTTTTTGACGAACAGAACCATTCAGAAAACAAATCAAGATGAACTGCTTTTGGTTATCTTGTTCCTGGAGTAATTAAAGGAAAAATTTGATTACTGTCAAATCTAGATAGCTTTATATGCTACAAACAAGGGCCAGTTCTGAATGCTGGTCCACTTTGACTGAACTTCTTAACTCATAAATGTTATGATGAAGACCAATAGTTTAAAGGGGAGGTCAAGGGGGACGTGTTTCAAAATACTAAAATAGAAAAAAGTGAATAAAATTTTTGTAATAGAAAAAGCAGTCCTGCACAATGCTGAACTAGTGTATGTGCATAGTAGATGACAAATCCTTTTTCGGATATGTAATAATGTTTTAGTCCTTTAGCCTCTGTAGTTGCTATTTTACACTTGAGTTCTGTAATTCAGCTGGTTAATAAAATATATTAGGATTGGTGTGAAAATTACACAAATATTTTGCTTTCCTCTGTGTGCGTTATTTTTACGCACAGAAAATGTGAGTTCAGGTGCTTGGCTAAGGAAGTTTGTGCTTATTTGGAATCCATAAATAAATAAAAGCTGTGTGCTCTCTGTGCTGCATTGTGGATTGTCCTTACTCTATTACTATTTTTCCATACAGGCTTATTATGAAAGCTTTGTTGTCACTGTTTAACATATGCTTTGTTGCAGATGTTTTCATCTTTCCTTTTCTTTTCCCTTTCATTAGACATTTGCTGACAAGGTATTTGATTCCTTCAGCTGGACAATTCCCATTGCTGTAGCCTTTTCTTGTTTTGGTGGACTTAATGCTTCAATTCTAGCATCATCCAGGTACTGCATATCTCTTTCTGTTTGACAAATGTTCATAGATATTTTTACATATTACTGTTATGCTCATCTAATACGAGTAGCAAAAATACTTGTGTAACTGAACCTGTAACGAATAGCCACAATAAATAACAGGCCTAAATTATGGGGGGGTGTGTGTGTGCACATACAGAATCACAGAATGTTATGGGGTTGGAAGGGACCTCTGGAGATCATCTAGTCCAGCCCCCTGCCAGAGCAGGTCCCACAGGAACGTGTCCAGGCAGGTTTTAGATGTCTCCAGAGAACAGAGAAGGAGACTCCACCACCTCCCTGGGCAGCCTCTTCCAGGGCTCTGCCACCCTCACAGCAAAGAAGTTTAGATGGAACTTCTTATGTTCAAGTTTGTGGCTGTTACCTCTTGTCCCTGGGCACCACTGAAAAAAAGGCTGGCCCCGTCCTCCTGACACCCACCCTTTAAGTATTTATAAGCATTGATCAGATCCCCCCTCAGCCTTCTCTTTTCCAGACTAAAAAGCCCCAAGTCCCTCAGCCTCTCCTTGTAAAAGAGATGCTCCAGGCCCCTCATCATCTTTGTAGCCTCTGCTGTCCCCTCTCCAGCAGTTCCCTGTCCTTCTGGAACTGGGGAGCCCAGAACTGGACCCAGTGCTCCAGATGGGGCCTCCCCAGGGCAGAGCAGAGGGGCAGGATGACCTCCCTCCACCTGCTGCTCACACTCTTCCTGATGCCCCCCAGGATGCCATTGGCCTCCTTGGCCACAAGGGCAAATTGTTGGCTCATGGTCATCCTATTGTCCACCAGGACTCCTAGGTCTGTTTCCTCAGAGCTGCTCTCCAGCAGGTCACCCCCAACCTGTGCTGGTGCAGAGGGTTATTCCTCCCCAGGTGCAGCACCCTGCACTGTCCCTTGTTGAACTTCATCAGGTTCCTCTCTGCCCAACTCTCCAGCCTGTCCAGGTCTCGCTGGATGACAGCACAGCCTTCCAGTGTGTCAGCCACCCCTCCCAGCTGTGTATCATCAGCAAACTTGCTGAGGCCACATTCCATCCCTTCATCCAGGTCATTGACAAACACATTGAAGAGGACTGGACCCAGTATGGACCCCTGGGGAACACCACTTGTTAACAACCTCCAACTAGGCTCTTGTGCCCCTAATCATGACCCACTGAGCAATTTCAGCCAGTTTTCAATCCACCTCACTGTCCATTCATCTGACCTACACTTCCTAAGCTCACCTATGAGATGGTGTCAAAAGCCTTGCTGAAGTCAAGATAGACAACATCCACAGCCTTCCCCTCATCTATCCATCCAGTCATGCCATCGTAGAAGGTATCAGGTTAGTCAGACATGACTTCCCCTTGGTCAATCCGTGTTGACTACTTCTGACAGCTTTCTTTTCCTCTGTATGCTTTGAGATGATGCCCAGAATGAGCTGTTCCATCATCTTTCCAGGGATGGAGGTGAGGCTGACCGGCCTGTAGTTTCCCAGATCCTCCTTCTTGCCCTTTTTGAAGGCTGGAGTGACACTGGCTTTCCTCTAGTCCTTGGGTACCTCACCTGTTCTCCAGGACCTTTCAAAGATGATGGAGAGTAGCTCACCAATGACTTCTGCCAGCTCCCTCAGCACTCATGGGTGCATCCCATGAGGACCCATGGACTTGCGGGTATCCAGTTTACTTAACTGTTCCCTAACTTGGTCTTCCTCAACCAAGGGGAAGTCTTCCTTCATCCAGACTTTCTCTGTTACCTCCAAAGTCTGGGACTCCTGAGCAGTAAAGAATGAAGCAAAGAAGACATTCAGCAATTCTGCTTTCTCTGCATCCTCTGTCACCAGGGCACCCCGTCTCATTCAACAGGGAGGCCACATTTTGTCTAGTTCTCCTTTTACCTCCAATGTACTTGAAAAACCCCTTCCTGTTGACCTTGACATCCCTTGCCAGGTTTCATTCCAAGGCTTTCCTCGTTTCATCCCTGCATACTCCAATGGCATTCCTGTAATCTTCCCAAGTGGTCAGTCCCTTCTTCCACACACTGTAAACTTCCTTCTTCCACTGGAGCTTTTTCAGGAGCTTCCTGCTCAACCACGCAGGTCTCCTGCTTCCCTTGCTTGATTTCTTGCTCTTAGGGATGCACCGATCCTGAGCTTGGAGAGAGCAATATTTGAATACCAGCCAGTCCTCTTGAGCCCCCCGACCTTCCAGAGCCCTAACCCATGGCATTTCTCCAAGCAGTTTCTTGAAGAGGTCAAAGTTAGCCCTCCTGAAATCCAAGGTTTCAGTCCTACTTGTTGTTTTGCACACACTACCCACAATCCTGAACTCTATCTTTCCATGGTCACTGCAGCCAAGGCTGCCCCCAACCTTAATGTCCTCCACCAGTGCCTCTTTGTTTGTCAGAAGTAGGTCCAGTAGTGCTTCTCTCCTTGTTGGCTCCTCCACCACCTGAGTCAAGAAATTATCTTCAGTACACTGGAGGAACCTCCTGGCCTGTGCAGCCTTCCCAGCAGATCTCAGGGTGATTGAAGTCCCCCATGAGAACCAAGGCTACTTTCAGCTGACTGTAAAAGGCCTCATCAGCTTGCCCATCCTGATCAGGTGGCCTGTAATAAACACCCACAACAATGTCCCTCATATTGGCCTGCCCCTTAATCCTCACCCACAAGCTCTCAACTCTCTCTTCATCTGACCACAGGGAGGGCTTTAGGGACATCTTCTCATTCTCTATCCATTTCTTAACATAGAGGGCAACACCTCCACCCCTCCTTCCTTGCCTGTCCCTTCTGAACAGCTTGTCATAGCTTTCCAGCAGCACAGTAGCTTCCAGCTCCTCCTGTTTGTTGCCCATGCTGTCTGCATTTATAGAATCATAGAATTGCCCAGGCCAGAAGGGACCTCCAAAGGTCATCTAGTCCCACCTCCCCGCAGTCAGCAGGGACACCCCCAACTAGACCAGGTTGCCCAGGGCCTCGTCGAGCCTCACTTTGAATATCTCCAGGGATGGGACCTCAACCACCTCCCTGGGCAACCTGTTCCAGTGCTCCACTACCCTCACAGTAAAGAACCCTCTCCTAATCTCCAATCTAAATCTGTTCCCCTCCAGCTTGAAGCCATTGCCCCTCGTCCTGTCACTGCAGCCCTTTCTAAACAGGTTCTCCCCAGCCTTCCTATAGGCTCCCTTCAGGTACTGGAAGGCTGCTATGAGGTCTCCCCGGAGCCTCCTCTTCTCCAGGCTGAACAACCCCAGCTCCCTCAGCCTGTCCTCGTAGCAGAGGTGCTCCATCCCCCTGATCATCCTTGTGGCCCT